TTTCGGGCGGCCTCTGGGAGCGATAAATCAGTTACTGCACACAAAGTATAACTGACCAATGGAAAAGGGCGCGGTCTTTTTGGATTGAGGTGCAACATGGCGGAAAAGACGCGAAATTTAGATATCCAAAATTTTTGAAAAATAAATTGGCAACAACTCGAAAAGTAAGCCGTTTTGGGGGATACTGACACCCCCAGCACGTTAGAGGTTGGAAAATATGTATATAACTTCCACAGTAGATGTTCGCTTATTGCATATTACGCAGACCGGGCGAAAAGAATAGCCGAGCACTGCGATAGTGAATACATCGATATTGGCCGATGTCATGGAACATCCTCTAGGACTACGCTGCATCGGTTAGTTCAGTCGCGGACCGGATTCGTTTCACATGTTTGGAGGTAATATCTGTACCTTATCCCTGTCCTTTCCTCTCTGTGAAACGTACTAAAAAGTAGAGTCCCTCCTAGACGAGACCGCTTTCTGTCGGTGTGTTGAGATGAGACAATTGTATATGTATCATTGTATACGTGCTTCAGTTCCCGAAGCATTTCCTTGTCTGATAATTTGTTTGAGCACATGGATCGCTATGTGACTTAGGACTGTGACTACATCGGCGGTGGCGTTGGTTAAGGCAATATCAAACCCATGGACATTAAGCCCAGCAAAGCACTATTTGTGTATTAGTCTTTTGGGACACATATTCCGCCATATTTGGCCTATTGAGTAAATGATATACCACAGTGAAAGTAACCTTATTTACGACACTTTATTGGACTGTTCACCACAGCCAATTACTGCCAAAAGCGAGTAACTAACTGGGCCACAATTTCAGTCGTAAACCGTTCTACCTCTGAATCGAAGATGGTTTCGTACTTAACATATTTTTGACGATAAAATTTCTCCCACGAAACGACGTGCTGGCCAAATGGTCCCTCAGGGAGTAGGAATTTCAACATCAGTGTTGGGTGATAACTTCAGACTGTAACCTTTCGGAACGACCTTCGATAAGGCAGAATCCACAGAAAACACTTGCCATCAGATTGCCACATAACTTATATTTCCAGCTAGATTTCTCATTCCCCTGGAGATTTCACGAAAGAGTGATTCCACCACCTTAGGAAAAGTTGTGAAATCCACAACCGACAAGAAATACGATGAAAAGATCGCATTCCGGGGACAGCGTGGCGGTTTCGTGCAACATGAGTTACGGGGCATAATGAAGACAGAGTTTCAATGCTGTTAGAAGCCTACCAAACCTAGCTAACCTGGATGAACAGTCCTCTCTAATTCGAGGCAACAAATATTATTGGTAATAGGTAAACATTAAGCTTTGGCTCATTCGAATACCATTTCTGGATTCATCCATTCAAGTTCAGGTTTTGTTTTCATGAATGAATTATCTAATGCCGTTAGTGACAGTGTAGTTGTAGGTGATATTATATACCTCGATGGATCTTTGACGCACACCCAGATTGCTTTCACATATATAGCCAGTCTACACATAAAACAGTGTTCATGGGTAGGTGAGCAAAGTTCTGTCTCGCAAAATACGGTTTTGAAACTGTGACCCTGAGACTGCGTAAACCCGTGACCAAAACAAACATTCCATTACGCTCAATGGTTACTTTTGTAGCATCAACAGAATTCCTGTCACGACTGTGGGCCCATCTGTAGATTGCGACGTCCTTTGAATCCTACTAACTTTGAAGGTCAGCAAGGATTTCGGTGGTTTTTTGCTTACGAAACTAGCATTATAAGGCCGGAAACCACAAATATCGTGAAAGGTAACTATATGGGTAACCAATTAACCGACTTGCTTGAGCCGGTGGGGATCAGAGGAATTCAGTGCGAGTTGAAGTTTACTGACATTAGATGGCGAACTCATTCAAGCACAGTGTGATGAGGACTCGCTGTAGCTGCATTCCCAACCTAACTAAGGGCACTGACTAAAATACTACCAGGTCGCCCAGGTCAAGACAGGAACCATTCAGTTTCTAAATTGAGTTTTCAGCCACGCATCTCTTGATCATTGAACTATTTCGAACTGATAAAGCTTTTCGTGTGAATATGCAGGTATCAGTAGTTGTTGAAAAATCGATGATCTCATCTAATATACATGATAAGTATTTTGGGCGATCATTTTTTATCCGTCTCGTCTACGGTGGTGATGTTTCAGTTCAAAGAAGCCAGATGAGCCTATTGTCTTCGTTTTGTGACGGAAATTTCGGTTGCCCCGGAATCTAATGTGTGATCTGAAAGTAAGGGAGTGCGATATGGTGCNGTGAGCGGGAGAGGGTTCGAGCTGGAGTTTGACTCTTCGAATTTAGCGTCACAGGTAGTGAAGCAACCTGTGAAACTCTACGCGAGCTGATACGTTTCGACCTATTTAAAAACCCACAGGTACTGTCACCATTCGGCTTCTTTCTCCTTTCCGTATCTCATCTATCATCTCAGGTCTATCTGAAACTACAGCACCCATCCGTCTTCTTTTCGAGGATAAGTCTATTGAGTATCAAAGTGTCCCTATCAAGATCTCATCCTGTAGATAAAGCCATTCTATGCGGAGAGTTCCGGGACTCTTGTGCAGTCGCGTCATTCTTCTTGTAAATAGACAGTGATACCCATCTCATGAATCTCTGGAGACCTCGACCTTCCGCCTCTCCGCATCCGGTATTACAACGATGAGGACAAGATTTGTTTATTATTTGAGCCGTATCCCACTGTTCAGGTCTGTTTCAGGCTAACGCACTAGACAGTCCATAGTGGATATTTACATGTAGTCCTATCTATCCTGTGCACTTTGCAATCGTCGAAGCATGCTCATTGAGTTCTTAATGCAGACGATCCCTTGATGGTTCATCACTCAAGACATTACCCCCTGGACATCCTCAGCCTGCATACTGTAGTGTAAGTTGTGCACTGAGTTTGCTTTCTTTGAGGATGATGATGATGCTGGGTGTAAGTTGTACTACCATCCTTTTGAAATGTGGGATGATTGCAATCAGAACTGGATTCTTTACCGTGATTCACAGGACACATGATGCGCGCAGGGGGGGTTCTCAAAAGAACACTACTCATAAGGTTTCCGAATGCTCTTCGGCCAATCTGAAGACTGGAGTTCCTTCAACAAACTATACTACAATACCTCTAATACCGTACCAACTGAAACATGAGATGGCCTTTGTACAGTATATTCAGCTGTAGAATACCATAAACGAGTTTAAGTGCAAATGAGTGTAGTTTTGTAGGCAAGAGATTATTGCCGATTTGTGTTGCGCTGACGCCAAACTGAATGATGATGTTCAGATGTTTCCACAAAGCCTTATTCATGTTCTGCACAACGGATGCTATCGGCCATGAGAAACATTATACACCACACGTTCCACCCTAGTTCAGATAGAATGCTATTGAAATAGCCTATCAATGAATTCTTCTAGATTTGAATGCGCCGGTTATGCGGTGATTGATGGGGGAGGGCCTGAAAACCCTCGATACAACTATTACTTGATTCTCAGTTAGCTAATGGGGAAAGCAATTACTTGGGACTCTGCTAGGCTTTTCACTCGATATCCTAACTACTGGGAGAGTGCGAGTCCACGTTTATTAGAGGTAAGGCTATCCCATAGAGTGACATCAAAACTAATTACGGTGCTGCTCAGTTGTTACGGATTTTTCAAGAAAACCCAGTTCTCTAGAACCATTCGTAAGAAGACCGTTCAGATGCTCGTAGTGAATATCTATAATATCTATGGTATAATCAAGGATGTATTCTTGATGACACTTGTTCGCCTTCGTAACAGGGATAGGAAGGACGTGTACATGAATTCGTTTGCCCGCCTTCTGTTAGCTCGCCAGTACAGTGTCTTGGTATCCGTATCATTCGGATTACCACGAAATACCCGTTGTCATGCTGTTCCCCTTCGCCTTTTGACCATGTGGTCCTCATGACACAAGCAACAGTAGTGTGCACAGTGGAATGAAACACAACAATCAGGTTCGGAAGACTTTACTTCCCCTAATCGTTGTACTGAGCAGACTATATCAAGAACAGGTTACGTATGACCTTTATTGACGTGCCATTAAGTTACTGGACGAGCCGGTCCAAAAGCTTCAGACCAACTTTTTGCGTTTAAACCTTGTTTTGGTGGTGGGCGGAATTTCTCGATTAATGATGTTCAAACTGGAACGCCACAATTTTTTTCGTCCCTTCAAATTTGTTGTGATCGATTAAAATGGTTCCTTGGGCCTGAATCTGCAGTCCGGTTTGTGGACGGTCTTACCGACATCACCGAAGCCGCACAGTGTGTTCTTCTAATCCATCCACATTGTTCCTTTCCCTCACATAGATGCCGGAATTGGCCACCAACCGCCTGAAGGGTCAACGTTGCTGCCACCGACCGAGCATACTTTTCATCCGGAATTGGCACCAACCGCCTGAAGGGTCAACGTTGCTGCCACCGACCGAGCATACTTTTCATTTGGCAAAACGTTGGTATTCTGCTTGGCTACGGCATCATGTTGTTGATCGCCTTCTACGAGACCCAACTCACCTAGTGGTTCCAACTACCATTTGCCACCCACATCCCCATCATCCTGACAGACGCGTATTGCGCACTCATTATCCATCGTGTGGAACCCTAATGTACACAGCCTCGATAGAGAAAAAGATACGCCATTTTCGTTACGTCACCGCTTCCCCGCTCCTTCTCTGCTCCATCCATCATTTTTATACGACCAAGCCATCTGATCGGCTTTTACGCCAAATCAATCTTCAGATATCTCCTTCCTGATCACACGCGCTATTATTCGTTTCGAAGACAATTCGCTTAAACTCGCTATGTGTGGTGATTAACTTCAAAGACATATGAGTGCTGTCTGCTGTTCGCGCAGATCCATTCATTGTTCTCACTATCTGTCCCTGTCATGAGACAGTGTCGTTCCATTTTATTTCCATCCTGGTCCTCTGTTGCCACCGCATGGAGGGCTTTGAGAATTTTCTCATCCGCGTGTGGCTTCTATTTTCCACGCGCATGAGATCTATTCTAGACCGTTTTCACTGAAGAAGTTGGTGGGGGCTTTAGAAAAGTTTGGTTCAACTGTTCCCTTGATTCCTTTGACGGTGTTTCGTTTTCTTCCTCTGTGGATTTAGCTGGTGGATCGCAGTATGTCCAATTCGATTTCGCAAGAAAGAGGCTAAATTATCACTTAACAGCATAACCTATCGGGTGCGAACTCATTGGTTTGCTTTAGTATTTGCTGGTGCATGATGGCCGTACGTCCTTTTAAAGCAGCCGTCTACTTCTCCTTAGCGTGACTCGCGTCACTCGTAAAACGCGTCCGATGCACGTGTGTTGTTTGTGCTAGTCAGCATCAATTTTAGCCTGTACAGCCACGGTTGCGTGTCCGGATCTATACAGCATAAAATTGTAGGAAAATTGAACAATAGGCTGGACCAATCACTACGCAAATCAATAAAATAAAGTGTTAGGCATAAAATACAGGTCCGATTGCGTAATTAAATCTGCCTCGACCTAGGACTCAAGAACAAGGTGGGAAATATCCTATTAAGAACCATACAATCGACTTCATACTCTTTACAATGAAGTAAAAGTGGTGAAGCTCTGCAACGGTATATTTATGAAACTGTTACAATTCAGAGGTTATACAAAAAGAGGAGAAAACTACACAGGATATAGGAACACTCCCCGTAGTGGAATCCATGCTGTTCTATCTTGAGAAAATCTTGTACACCCAAAGGGTTGTACCGCTGACCGACGCAACCGTATTTCAGATACGAACACGGTAAAACATAAGTCACTTTATGGGCCCTCGACTAGTGACTGTTCTTTCGTAACAGTCGTGATCACAAACCTCTCCCCGTATATGCAGTGATGTGTGATTGTGTAGTGTGCATGAACTTCAGTGTCAAATAGAAATTTCACTCAAGCACTGAAAATTCAAAAAAAAATCACCTCATGTTTAGGCAGTCGTGGCATTGAAATGCAATAGGTCCGTTATTGCCGCTGAATGTGTTGTGTGTGTCCAGTGTGTGCGTGCGATGTACACCACATTTCTCGCAATACGGAATAATGACTATATCGGGGCTTAGATTGGTTAGCCGTCAAGAATAATGGAAAGTAAATTGTTTTGACTGCTGGTGGAACATGAGTAGCTATGTGCGAATTGAGAACTGTCTTGGTGCGGATTCAAATGACCCAAAAACACGCACATCTAGACGCAACCTGTTCTTGTTTCTGACGCCATCGGTTGGATCTTCCGATGTTGAGCACCATGGATGTTCCGTATGTGAGTTTTTTAGCCGCTAGTTATATTCAGATTTGAAAGTAGTCGGTCGAAATAAGATGTTTTTAGCGAATATACACTAATTTGGTTTTTCGATAAACTCACCTGGAACCCAGCTGAATCTATCGTTTTTGATGTTCTCAGGCAACTGAATGCGATGCACCAGGCCGCCTCATGTTTCAGTCGCTACGATATTCGAGATATCGCGATACATTTATATCTTTGTAATGTACCACTCATAAGGTTGCTGAAAATCCGTCGACAGCCCCGACCGGTTTCGCCCTCTTTGGGGCTCATCAAGTAGGCGCATTCCCCGAGTTTCCGTCAACCTTATGTTCTACTTGAAACCAAATTGCACGAAATTAGCGAATATACACTCATCTGCAAACTACTTTGTTTTTTCGAGAGACTCACCTGGAACCCAGCTGAATCTCTCGTTTGTGCTGTTCTCAGGTAACTGATCTGTTTTTGTCAAGGTTGAATAGCGGAGTGTATGCACACGGATTTTTCTCACTAATATATAACTGGAGTGAGGGGATGTGTCTTGAACTCTCTTGTGGAGAACTTAGTAGTTTTGAGTTCTGAAAATTTTAACTACGTTGTATTAAGCGTATTCTGCCTGGAATGTTCAAGTGCGTTAGCAGCATATATTCACACAGGGCCGATCGAGAAAAGCAGAGGTCAGATTTGGTCATTGGTGGTCTGCTGATATCGTTGATAGTTATACTACTTGTGTCGTTAGGTGTCGTGCGACATGCTCATAACCTATAAATGTCAGAATATAACAAATCAGATGTGCTGTGCACTGCCCGTCTAGCTAGATCGCTAGTTTTGGCAAATGGATGGCCAAGAGACTGCGTTATTGAATCAACATATACTTTCTCCTAGTGTGTGCCATGTGGCTGGTTTGTTAGTTGAGCATTTATGGTAATTTACGTTGAATTTCCTCTTCGCCCTCAACGGCAAGGAAGTGTCAATTGTGGTGTTTTGTTACGTGCTATCAGTTGAATTGTTCTCTTGCTAGATAAGGCAAGCAATGAGGTCCAAGAATTTTATTACTCGAATGTGAAACAAACAAGACAGTCGAACGAGGGTAGAGTAGGGGCGGTCAAAAGAGAAGACATGGCTGAGCGGCCGCACCACTCACACTGCATCAACTCAATGCGGATGAATAGTGCTCGAAAGTAGCTTATGAACTGGCAATCAATACTGGGTGGCTAATCAAAGCAGAACAATGGGTCCACCGGCAACGGATAAATCACAGACCCAGGTAACATAGCCATTGACGGTTGACTATCTGTGCTAAAAACAACAGCAGTATACGTCCATATTAATGGAAAGCGTGTATACGTGCTGACGAGATGGAAAACCCATGTATACACGATTAACCGGAGCCAAACTGTGTGTTCCTCCTGCTGCAGCACAGTTAAGATGCATACTCTGCTTTCGCTCAAAAAGTGGTGTCGGACAAGGATGTCCATTCCTATTCAAGTGCGCGGTCTACGAGATAATGAGGCAAACGCTGGGAGGTCTTAAAAACCATAGTGTTCAGATCGCTGCTGACAAGAGCCTTGTCACTCGTGTGCGCAGATAGCATTTGCGTTTTCGAAGAGAAGTAACGGGTACTTCTGGATGAACTGACTAAAACTCCCCTCCTTCGGTATGCGCTTTATACCCACGAATTGGGAGGTTATTTCCCTGAAATGCGTTCCTTTAACACAGCAGTTGCAATCCAAAGAGAGGCGCTCGAAATTGCGGTCGCGTTACATATCTTGGAAGCTTTTTCAGTTCAGAAGACGAGAGTAATACAATCATTTTTGTTAGTTAGTTTGAGACAGCTATAGCGAGAGCGGAATGAGATAGCTCAGTTGTTAGAGCGCGGATTTACTGACCAAAAGGTCTGTGGTCCGAACCCGACTTCCCCTGCCTAGGCTTGGGCAACCTGGCATATCTCAGCCCTCGTGCTTCCTTCGAGTGGCAGCCAGGCACCGAAAAAGTGTTACGCCTGAACGATCACTCTTTTTAACGCTACTTAACCCGGAATTTCGGGCGACATGTGGATCACCCTACAGTAGGGGCTGTTTTGTTATGGGGTTGTTGGGCGTGGTCTCTGCGAGCGGTGAACCATAACGTTTTTAGGAACAGGCGATTAAGAATGAATTCTGCAATAAGGTATTCAGTAGGGGTGAGTTCAACACTAAAAGCCACGGTGGTGTGGTCTCGTTTTGTGCATGCGGAATCAACGTTTCCCTAAGCGAGTTTTGTTTAACATGCCCAACTCAGACAGCTGGTCAACCTTTGACATGAAGAGAAGTGTGAAGGTGATTATAGGTACTGTCCATTCGACGCCTTAAAAAATGGGATCGATGACTTGAAGCACTGCGAAATGAGGCTCTCAATCGATGTCAGTTGCGTTCTTGTTGTCAGCTTACAGTCAGATTTTTTGAATGAGCATCTGGAGGTATTCACACATTGCAATATCCGTGGTAGGCTAGTATCAGTTGCGTGTTGTCAGCTTACAGTCAGATTTTTTGAATGAGCATCTGGAGGTATTCACACATTGCAATATCCGTGGTAGGCTAGTACTGAGTCCCTTCCTTATCCGCTGTGGTTCTTTTCTTCACAGTAGGGCTTCCCAGTGAATTATGATTGCACAGCATCAATGTATCAATGTTGAACACTGATCTTGTGCTCTCGGTGCCAAGGATAATGACGACCATGGTTTGTCATTGTTAAAGGCGTTTCGTTAACTCGCCGTCCAATTAGAGCATATTCATACGATCACACCAGCTTCCAGGACGATGTTTGAAAAATTGAACGGGTTAGCCTACTGAGTCTATCGGTCTGGCCTTAAGACAGCTGGAGAATTTTGGATACAATATGAAGGAGCTGCTGTTTACGGATGGAGAACAAGCCATCACCGAATGCGCAGGAAAAAGGTTCTTCAGCTGCATGCTATATAGTAAGGAGCGGAGGTACTAAGTTTGGTGTATTTATTGACCTCAGGAAATTTCGAAGTTATCAGATGGATTGTGATGAAATGGAAAACAGAGGCATCTGAAACGACAATATCTGTACTACTTAGATGCTCGATGGTTTCACTCACAGGTGGTTTCCGGGAACCGGTCGCACGGATCAACGGAAATAATTTTCGAGCACTAATGGTTTTTTGGGCCTCGTCCACTTCTTTGGCTTTCTGTGTCCACCATACTTCACGGTCGGTTCTTACGCTCACTTTCACTTGACGT